GTGCGTGATATTGTGATAACTTCAAGCGTTTGGTATACGATACGCGTGGCTATGAATTGGGATTTTTGTCGGGTCCATGCTTAGTGAAAAATTAAATAATACACAAGTGTAACTATCAAAACACAGACAGGTGTTAAAAAAGAACTACACCAAATATTAACCTGATTTAAATATAACCAAAAATGTTGAGCCTAAATTTAAAAAAAAATCGAGTCCCCCCCCTAGAAGTAAGTTTAAATACGCCCCTGTCCTACACTAGGAATATTATAAGTTATCAATCTAATAACAGTTATATCATATTATAATACTGTCATATGTATTAACTCTTTATTCTATATAATATATAATTTATATGAAGCTGTCTATCTAATTTAATTTAATAATTTTGAAAATAATAATTCATAATTGTAAAAAAAAATATAAGTAATGCATTCTATATAATGATAATTCATTATTAAATATTGTATAGAATGGATTATTCATATTTTTATTTTTTTCAATAAATGACGAATTATTATTATATTATTACAATTATTATTTTTAAAACTATTAAATTGATAATATTTATAAGGTAAATTATTAAATATTATAAAGAATTATATATTATATAGAATAAAGGGTTAAAATGTATGGCAGTATTATAATATGATATATCATTATAACTAATATCATATTGATAACTTATAATATGCTTAGTGTAGGAACTTTCACATGTACCTATTTTTTACTGTGTAGGAACTTACACATGTACCTGCTTTTTACTGTGTAGGAACTTACACATGTACCTGGTTATTACTGTGTAGGAACTAACATATGTAGGTATCTTGTTTACCTGCTAGGTCTCGTGTAGGATCTTACATTCGCCCGAAAAATCCAGCATTTTATTTTTTAATATTGGTTAATCGTTTGTCAACTGTTGGGTGTAATCTTTTATGATTTTGGCATCCTCTGTTTTCATGATTATAGCCAGTCATGCACAATATTTAAGTACTAACCCATCTTGAGCATGGCCACAGAGTTCACCGACAGTGTATCACCTCGATTATTGTTGCTGTATTTTCGCTATACTGTTCTATTTTAAATTTCTGAGAACTGAGAATTTAATATTCAGGAATAAAACACAAAGAAAAAGTATTTTAATCATTTTCTGTAGACATTATACTTACCGTACATAAAATTATAGTTAAATGCTTTTTATTTAAGTTCGTTCAGAAATCAGGAATTTAGCACTCTTACAGTGTGATTTTTTCTAAC